GTGGTGGTGGTGGTGGTTCGACCCGCGCATCCGACGATGCCCACCGTGTGCTCCACAGCAGGGCGAAGCAGGCACGGTGACCTTCGCGTGGATTATTTTATAGAGAGAGTAGACTGGCGCTGTATCTACCGCACTTTCCTCCTCTCCACCTGGACCCGGTGTCAAGACAGAGCCATGAAAGCCGTAAGCAGGGAGGACGCAGGTGGATGGCGCGGCCGAACCCACACCTTGGCGTCCCACTCTAAACTCCCTGCTCCAAAATAAACAAACACTTGACCAGGGTTTTGACCACCACCGCCTCTATCACCATGAACACCACCACTACCACTGGTGAAGTCGGCAGTTGGCTACTGCAGGCTTTCGTGAATGCGCACGTGCCGTGATAAGCCCATGCGGTGAGCGAATGTGCGGGTGCAGTGAGGGCAGTTGCAGAGGATGCTCCAGGCACTGGTTCGCCAGGCTCTGTGAGATGGATTCGCAAATGACCGATCAGGCCGATGTGTGAGGTGAATGTGCCACCGAAATGAGGACAGTTATGAACCGAGCCCACGCCGCTGGAGGTGAGGGTGTTGGTGATGACCGGAGTTGATGAGACGTCAGACGTCGTCTCATCGACGGGAGGAGTGAGTGAAGACGTGAGGGTGGTAATACTGGCCGCTGAGGTGGTTGGGGCAGGGCGGGTGGTGTCGGTGGAGGAGTGGCAGTGTGATCAGCGGTAACGGGGGTGGCGGTCAGCAGGGGATTTGTGTCAAGGGCGAGTGGGAGATGGGGCAGATGTTGTCGGGTTAATGGCAAATTGGGGCCGAAGGCGTCCAACGAGACCGATTTGTGCGCTGAACGCGCGTTGGCAGCGTGAGCATATTGGACGCGGAGGGTTGGCATTGAGAGGATGAGACACTTGTGATTTGCGGGCCTTCCGTTTGGCTTTGGCGATCTGATTTGCTTTGTAGATGACGACGCCAGTCTTCACTTCTCTTCTCCAGGCCAGTATGTTCTGGGCGAGGTCATCTCAGTTCTCTGGATTGACATGCAATCGCTTAAGAGAATTCTCCAATATGTCCTTGTAGCGTCGTTTTGGGCTTCCCGGTCAGCGAGCACCAGTAGCGACTTCACCATAAGAGTTGTTTCGGTAGACGTGTATCTTCCACCCGCACGAAATTGCCGCTGCAGCATAGCTTCAGCTGTCTCAGCGTGGCGTAGATGCTGAGGATTCCGGTCCGTTCTAGAACTTCCGTGTCTGGCATCCTGTCTTGCCATTTCAGCTTTAGTATTCTGTGAAGGCAGCTGAGATGGAAGTGGTTGAGCTTCTTGGCATGGTTGGAGTAGACGGTCCAGGTCTCTGCTCCGTAGAGAGGTGTCGCCAGGACGACAGCCTTGTACATCTTCGGTTTGGTATTCAGTTGGAGGCCGTGGCGATTCAACACGGAGTTCTGCAGCCAGCCGAAGGCTTGGCTGGCTTTGGAGATCAGGCGAGCCACTTCGCCGTCGATTCTGATACAGCGAGACATTGTGCTGCCTGAATAGTTGAAGTTATCCACGGCCTTTAGTTCAGTGCTGTTGGCGCGGATGTGAGGGACACTGTATTCAGCGGTCAATGGCTGTTGATACATGATCATCGTCTTGTTCGCATTGATGGTCAATCTGCAGTGGGCGCAGTCGGAGGCGAAGAGATCTATGCTCCGTTGCATGTTCACTTCAGTCCTGGTGTTGAGCACGCAGTCGTCGAAGAACAGATCGTGGAAAGGCGCGTCGGGGCCCCCATTCGCCGGCTGCTGAGAAGGTGCCCGTCGGTCCTGTAGTCTATGTGGATCTCGGGGCGATCATCACGGTAGGCGTCCATCAGTATGACAGAGAACATGAGGTTGAAGAGGGTGGGCGCGAGTACGCAGCCCTGCCTCACTTCATTGGTGACTGCGAATGCCTCGGAGATTGCGCTGTTATTCACGACACGTCCCACTATCACATCGTGGAACTGACGCATCATGTGCGTCAATCGCTCGGGACAGCCGGACTTCTGTACGATTCTCCACAGTCCTTCGCGATTCACCGTATCGAACGCTTTCGTCAGATTCGCGAAGGTGGTGTAGAAGTGATTCCGCATTTCCTGGTAGTTCTCTTGTAGATAGCGGGCAGCAAAGATCATAGCAGTAGTTGCGCGGGGCCGCCGGAATCCGCGTCGTCATTCCGTCAGAAATCCTTGCTCTAGGTGGTCATTGAGACGATTGGGGAGGATGCAGGCGAAAATCTTCCGAGCGATGTTGAGTAGCAAGATGTCCCTGTGATTGCCACAGAGTTGCCCGTTCCCTTTGAGCCTGTAGAGATGGACGATGGTTGCGTTCCTAAAGTCCTGAGGAACTTGCCCGCAGCGCCACATCTGAAATGGCACTGTGATGTGATCCATAAGACGGTGGCCCCGTGCTTGTAAATTTCAACTGGAATCACATCGGAGTCGAGTGCTTTCCAGCTGGCGAATTGTTGCGCGGCACGAATGGTTCCTGGGAGAGAGGTCGGGAGATCCAGGTCGGTGTTGGTCTCCGCTTGGGGGAGCCGGTCGATGGCGGCGTCAAAGATTGTGGAGGGACGGTTGAGGACGCCCCTGAAGTGCTCGGCCTAAAGCTTCGGAATCTGAAACTTTTCTGTCTTGCATATCCAATTATATTCATTTGATAGGAAATAGTGTCTTCTTCAAAGTCTAAGCCTGAAGAAAGGATATTTTTCAGTTTCCAGTCCCTAATTGTAAGGTTTTTAAGAACGTGAAATCTCCACCCATAGAGCATTGTATCTGTCTATTTATTAATGCTGCTTATAAAGTGTACAACATGGTAAACATCGATTGGAAATTCTAATGAGCCCTATATCATTTCTTTATAATAGCATATACAACTACATGATTTTCCTATACGGAAAATATACAACTTGTAGTTCGGAAACAGTGAATGCAGTTGCGACTGCAGGTCGGGTCCAACATCATTCGGGAATTGAGATTTTTTCAAAACCGGAAGATACCATTTCTTCAAGCATAAAATTCAAAGAAGACGTTAGTAGCTACCAAATTAGCACAGAAAACAATATATTTGTGCATGTTCTTCATGAAATATATTTGAATGTATAGGGGCATCGAAAATAAACGGGAGAAATTCATAATACTTAGGTAGACATCTTATGGGACGTGGTTTTTGCAGGCGCCAGTAAGAATCTTATTCAAAAACCGACATTCTGGTATTACTAAAATATCTTGGGGTTATGCCGCATAATAATTAGTGCCACCACCATGCTTTAGTAATCTTTTCGGATCGAAGACACAGATGAGATATCATATATACTGTAGGTCCGTTTGGGCAAATGCCTGAGTCTCGATACATAGGAGTTAGGCGACTTTACAATTAAACCACTATGGAGCTATGAAATATTGCTATGTTTGGAAAATGTTATGCAAAACGAAGAAAGGCCTCTTGGTCATGAATTTCCACCGAGGTGCGTCAGCGGACTAGTTTTCAAAATTCACAACACAAAACATACCAAGCCGTCTTAGCTAATATGGAAACTTTGAATAGCAAACTTACGCAGTTGTAAAAGGCAACAATGGGGGCATAAATAGACGTAAATACTTCTGTAAAGCACGGGAGAATTCAAAATTGGTTAAATTAACATACCACAAACTGGTCATATTACTACGGTCGAAAATGGTTAAAAGACTTGGTTGCGTTAGTTCCTAGGTTAGTATCGTTTACGTAGGAGCGCACAGAGGTCTGAGCTCAAATAACAGAGTGTGACGATAAGCTGATGAGCTAGAAAATCAAGGTTCAAGAAGCAATGAAAAGGCACCGGTTACATGCAAGGGCCTCTTAGAGGAAAGTGTTTTAAAGACATCTACGCATGCGAGAGAGACAGAAACACCCATTGGACGTTAAGGGATCTCTGGCGTATGACCATGCAAATGGTCATAAAAGATCTTATAATGACGTCTACGCGTGTAAGAGAAAGCAAGCATGGCCTCAATTGTTAGGTCACATAGTGTGGATACCTGGAGAGCATCTTATGAACCGAGTTTCATTCGCTGACACACACGATGATAAGCAGGTGGCCAGGCTAGGATGAGGGCAAGAGGACGGAGACTCCCGTGATTCCGACACGGACTGGTAGGTTTAACTGCTCGGCTAGGTAAACCATGACAGCCAAGAATTTATAGGGGTCTCGCCAAGACAGTACCTGATCTAAACCAATGAAAGTTCTGTATCTCCCTGCTTCGTGTGAATAAATATATCTGCTATGCATTAGTCCTCTCTGATTTTCTGT